GTAGTTTAATTAAATTTTTTTTACCTATTCCCATAAGAATCAATGTTAAATTATTTTTATTAAATAATTTTTTTTTCTCAGAAATACATCTGGAAAAAAATATTGAAAAAAAACTTTTTATCATCACTTCGTGATTTTTTTCAGTGTTATCTAGCATTTTTTATTTTTTTCCGGAGCCTCCTCAAGTACTTGAATACATTTTTTTCCCGATAATGTGATGCATTATTATTTTTATTAAACTTGCTGTTTATTTTACTTTTATCTTCCGAATATAAAGTACTGTTTAAGGTGAAAAAAAAAAAAAGTATCCATGACCAAGTCTGTACATAAATTAAATTCGTTCAAAAAACGCATGATACAAGCCATATATACGTATAAGTACCACGAAGAAAGTCCGTGAAGTTTCCAGTTTAGTCGCAAATCGAAGTTCAAGCTCTTTCTCCCCGATAGAAATTACATATATTATATGTAACACAACAAAGCTTTTCTTCCACGTATTAATTTCCTTGTTGGAGTAATTAGACCATCGGGTCGTCGTAGACGTGGGTCTTCTCGTGCTCTTGCAAGTGATGGCGGTGCTTGAACCTCTTGCCGCAGCGCGTGCACTGGTAGCGCGGTTGAATACCGCACTCGAATCAAATCATTTTTTTGTTAAATCAATCGTTTTAAAAATATAACCATTTGTATGTTTTGAGTATTAAAATAGGTATTAAATTTACTTCGAGTCGCAGGTGGCGCATCAAATTTCCCTTGTGCGAGTAGTGTCGTCCGCAACGTTGGCACAGAAAGACACCGCTCGAGGTTTTAACGATAGTCGTCGTTGACGCGGGATAGCAATTGACGGATGACGACGAGGAGGACGATGGCGACCATTGGATCGCTGAAAGCACAGAGGAGATATCACGGGTTAGTTTCGGAATGGCGGTGACATATGTGGGTTACGATGATTACGCGTGAGTGTGGCTGTGAAATTTTATCTAGCGTTCGATGGATTTGTTTATTTTTTTTACGTTTACATGTAAGAACTGTACTGACAGCTGTTTTGATGTTTCACTATTTTTATTTCGTATACTTGGGATCAGGATACATTGTTTTATTCTCATTCAAGACTGCAGTTTTTTGATTTTTTTTGTTTTTTTTTTTTTTGTTTCATTTTAAACAATTTTTGATATGACTGTTTACTTCTTAGTTTTTTTTCAAATTTAGATGGTTTTCGTGAAAAATCGAATGTTATAATATTTTCTACAGGCACATTTGAAAACTTTATTTTTTGCTGCTGGCTTGGGATCCAAAGCCAAGGGGTCACATGCATCTGAAAAAAAATGTTTAATTCAGTAGAATATTTTTGTGATTTTTAAGCATAGTATTTATTTATTTTTATGCGAATAAGGCAAGTGTTGAAACGTAGACAAAATGAAAATGACTTACAAAACAAAAATTTATAAAATGACATATATTTTGTTAATAAGAATGATTGTGAAGAGTACAGTAACATAAAGATGCGTGTTTTATGAAAATAATGTACCAACTACATTTTGTAAACGAAATGAAAAATGAATGTAAAAGGTATACTGGAAAAAATTTGAAAAAAAAATTACCTGCAAATAAAAATAAAGTAAATATTCAATGTTCGAGTGAAAAAATTGTTTTTTTTTTAAATTTCCTTTTTCGTTTTATTGCACACATTCATTTCTTTCACTTTGATAGCCCAAGTTGATTTTAGACAATAAAAGTACAGATTTTTATATTTATACTACGATTTAGAATTTTCTAACTAAAAAATGCATCGGATAAGATGGAAAAAAATTTCTTTAATGATCAGAATCATTTTTCATGATTTAATACATGATATCTTATAGAAAGCCTTGATTCTTGCTCCATTGTAAAAAAAGTAATTGGAACCACAAACATTTGTCGAATACATAAACTTATTTTGTAACAATACGAATCACGAGTCAACTTTTTCGTTGTACATATGCATGCTTTCATGAGAAATAATTAAACGGTTCTGAAACATTATTAGCAGGAATCAAAAGTCATGGTTAGGATTAATATAATCAGAAGAATCTCTGAGAGTGCAGGTTTGTGGATGGTGGGGAAAACATTAGTCATGGGTATACAAAGAAAAAAAATAATGATTTATTGTACAGATATACAAATTTTGTTATCACGAAATAAAGTACCATTTACATCACTTTTTTACATTCAAACGAAGAAAAATTTCATCCTCTCTGGGGCTGAAATGAACAGGTTTTATTAAATGTGTAAAAAAAATTCCTAAAAAAAAAACAATAATACTTTTGATTTTTCACATGTATGCACTCAACTGGACAACGACATAAATTAGATCCTGCGAATTAAGAATAGCCATGAACATTAATCAAGTGGCGCTGGTAGTTGGATTTTTGTTTGAAGGCGCGTTTACAGGTACAACAAAGATATTTCGGTAATTGGCCACCGCAAACAACTCTCATGTGACGCTGTAAGTTGTCCCTTCGCGAGTAGAACCTGCCACAAATTGGACACGATAACTGTTTTCCTGAAAAAAAACAATTTTTTTTTAAATTCGTACAATGCATGAAGGATAGAAATCTTTGAAAGGATTTTAGTTTTTCTAATCGACCGTCAAAGTGAAAAAAATTGCTTTGCGCTCTGATGACATTTAATAGCCGCTCGTGCTTTCTTTGTTATAATGCGTCTGTGTGCAAGTGTAAGATGTTAAATAATCGTGTTGGATTAACTAAATAATTTACCTGTTTATCTTACACTATTTTCGTATGAATTATAGGAAATAATCGTAGGTTAATGGTGGAGACAAATTTTATTTATATAAATTGCATGATTATTGTAGATAAATTTTTCCTCAGTTAGGACACTTTAACGCCTGACATGACGATAGTATCTGGCCAAGAAAATGGAAATATTCTTTATTAGATTGAGGATTTTCTTTGGTTAAGTAGGATAAAAAAAAAAATTTTTTTTTTAAATTAATTATTTACAAATATTATGAATAACATTAGGTTTGTAAGCTTTTAAGGTGAAGAACAAATACGTTATCCATTGTTGTTTCTGTTTGCAATGCTATATATTATTTTATTATATTTTCATATGAACATTGAAGTTGACTCATACATTGTCAAAAATCGAAATATACAAACTACTGCTTTTAAAAAAATAGCGTATTAAGCTTAAACATTCATAAATAATTTCGCATCGAGTTCAAATAAAGAGAATCACATTCATTAAAAAAACAGTTCCTTCGACGGATGAAAATACGTGGAAGAAAAAAAAAAAACATTCTTTATTTTAATTTATGTCTTTTTTAAATTTTTTACTCGGAAATCTTTTCCTTATAACGTTTTCAATTGTAACATTGGAAAAGTTCTTCTCATATTCTTGGGGATGCTGCTGCTTGACGTGACGACTCCAGCTGTCCTTGTACGTGGAGCGAATCGAACAGAACGGACACTTGTAAACGAGTTTTTTTGAGCACACGGTTTGATGGCGGTAAAGTGAATTCTTTTTTAAATATACTTTTTGGCAATTCCGACAGGCAAAGGCCGTCATAGGCTCCTTCAAATTCTCTGGAACACAAGTAATCAGAATAATTAGACATATTTTATTGACTGATTTTTGTTGTATGCAACATTTGATCCATCTGATCACTACTGATGACACAAAGCAATAAGGTAATTAGCCGTGAAAATTATGGAGGGCATTGTGGAATTTATTGTATTTTTATAAAAAACGTACATCATATAAAGCTTACGTGAAACAATTAAAACAAACGATGCATGCGNTTTTTTTTTTTTTTTTTTTTTTTTTTTTTTTTTTTTTTTTTTTTTTTTTTTTTTTTCATGTTTGGGTAATCGTTCTTATCGTTTTTGTGGTTGTTGTGTGAATAGTGTTGTAGGCAACGTTGTTACTTTGTGTCAGTCCGAGAACTGTCTGCCTTTTGTATTGGGATTTGAACTCAGTTGAAGCACTGATTTTTAATGTAAATTTAGATGGTTGCAAAAGTGGGCCTTCTGACATCAGCGCCACCTACCCTCTCATCTTGAAGCAGTTCAGCAGTTGAACAGTTCAAATCCCAATAGTGGAAGGTAAACAACTAGCGTTGTTATGAATAAATACAAACATACATAATTTCAAAATTAATAATTGGCTAATCTTCGTTGATTCTTTTGGTAAAAATCACATAAATGGCGAATCAGAAAACATTTTACTGACATTGAAGCTATAGAGCTCATTCGAATTTGACAATCTTAACGAATCAATATGTTTTCTGAAAAACTAGGAGCGATGGTAACTCAGTCGGTTGAGAGCTGGTCTGAAGTACGACTGCATTTGAGGGCATACACGTCCGATTCCCGCCTAGGGTCAACTTTTCAAAATATTAAATTAGATAGAATATGTTCTGGAGTCTTGCGGTTGGCTCTGTTTTACATTGGTATAAACACGTGTTCTCATTTATTTTAGCATTAAAAATAATTTACTATTTTTCATGCTGGCTTTACCATTCTAACTACCAATAAGTGTTAGAAAAATATTTAATTACTTCGATTATATGCCTTATTTGTTCCAAACACTTTTTTTACAACTTTTTCTATCCATGCATTGCTTAAGTGATTTTTACGAGCACACCTCTACCATTTATGTATGGAATAAATGGAGATGGAATTAACCAATAACCCCTGTCCTCATTAACACTTCTGTAACCCTCTTTACATCCATACCCGTGGCCCTTATCTAGCCCTCGCCCCACTAGCACAAGCTTACTTTAGATAAGCTTCCAAAAAACTTAAGCTAATGTTATACTTAAAGCATTTACATAATAAAATTAAGCATTTTACTTAATCAGTTAAGTAATTTTTCATTTTTTAAATTTATTTTTTAAAACTGTTTTAGCACTTCTGAAAAAAAGAACAATCGAAATTTTGACGTAATTGGATAAGTTTTATATCCATTGAAAAATTTCTTAAAGTAAAAGATTATTTTGACAAACTATATAGCTTAAAAATTGTTAATTTAGACATAACTTTTTACACAATAAATAATTCGTTCTAAGATGTGACATACTTTTTTTGGTCCATAGCAAACAACAAACATTTTTTGTTACGGTGGGCTACATTAGTAATTTCCGAATATAAATTTAAGTTTTTAGTAAGAATTAAAATGGAAGTTTTTGTTTTGAAGTCAAGAAAGGCCATAAAATTTATATTAATTATTATTTATCTCAACTATATTCTTCAATTAAGCAACCCCAAAGTTTATAGGAAAAAACTACACAAAGAAAAGTTTGTCTCTTGAAAGAATATATACAACTTGGCAACGTCGTATGCAGTTCTTATGTAGTCCATTGCTTCAACAAATTTTTAAGGTAGTGTATCTACAAAAAAAATAATCTAAAATCAATTGTTATTTAAGTAAATTGCCATTAAAAAAAAAACAGTATTTTTATAATGGCTTTAACTAAGAAAAGTAGTAAGGTATTTGGTATTTGGTATTTTTGTACAAGTATTGTTCGTGTATGAGGCTCGTTTACCGTCAAGCTTGAATCAGATGGCGCCAGAGCACGTCGCGGCTGTTATATGGCCGTCGCACTTACACACCGTCAAATTTACAGTTGTGTATTGTGTTCGTGAGCCTATCTGTGTAATGAGCAAAGCAGAAGACATAACCTTTGTAAATGATTGCTGTTGTTTGCAGACAATTTTTGTTTGCATTTACGTTTAAAGATAGTAGGAAAAATGAAGTGCAGTGTAATATCCTGCGATAAGAAAGTGAAATTTAAATTTCCTTCTGATAGTGTGATAAAAAAAAAGTGGCTCGAAGCAATTGGGAGACCAACATTTTTGCCGCTCCCAAGTCATGGCTTATGCCTCGACCACTTTGCCTCCACGAGTTCTGCTTTTCTTCCACTGACTCTTGCTCCTTTCCCTTTTAAAAGCTTTTTCAATTCTGAAACTTTTAAGCTCCCATAATATTCTTTCTTGTCTTCCTTATTCATTTCAAAATTTCAAATATTGCGCTTTACCACTACACTTTA